GTAACCCTGGGGCACTTCTGCTCCGAACACCAGGCCATCTAAACCCATGCAGTACGCACATGGGGTCAGAAAGGTGCCCACTTACGGTCCAGGAAATGCCCTTCCTGGCACACAGGTGCCCACAAGACAGCAATCAGCATCCTCAGTCCCTCTCTAGCCCAGACTCCTGTAACTGATTTTTCTTAATACCTGGGCTGAAAAAAGACTTCACAGGGAACTGTGCACTGATGCCATGGCAACCGAGGTGTTTACAGGGCACCTACTGTGTGCACTGAGAGCCAGAGAAAATGCCCCCAGAGAAACCTGAGAGGCCTACATATAAAGTTTCTTTGCCCCCAGAGGGAGATAAACCAATCCACCAATATACAAAATCTATGCCACAAATGTTCATGACAGAGGATAGCCGAATGTACAGCCCTTTTCCCTTAGTACTCTTTTAAATTGGGGTATAGTATATATACAAGAACATGCACAGATTCTAGCCCGGCTGGTGTGGCTCAGTGGATTGAGCAGCGTCCCATGGACCGAGAGGTCCCGGTTCAGTTCCCAATCAGGGCAAATACCCAGGTCATGGGTTTTGGGCTCGGTCCCCAGGGGCAGGTGTGCAGGAGGCGGCCGATCGATGTACCTCTCTCACATCGATGTTTCTATCTCTCCCTAAAAATCAATAAAAACATATTTAAAAAAGAAAAAGAAAGCGCAGACTTTGGTTGTACAGTTGGGTGATTTTTAACAAATGCATACACCTATGTAACTGCTACCCCAAGTAAGCTCGTAAACATTCCTGTCATCCCAGAACGTTCCCTTTCCAATCAGCTCCTCTGATTTCTATCCCCGTGAGCTAGCTCTGCCTGCTCTAGCACTTCACACACACGGGGTCATAATGTATGGGCTCTTGAGTCAACTGTTCTTGCTCAACACCACGCTGTTGAGATTTTCACTTTGTGTCTGTTGGTGAGTGCATCTGAGTAACCTGTGCGATGCGCTGTGTGAACACCAGTGACCCATCGGGGCCAAGTCTTAATTCAATCATGGAGCCAAGGATTGGAAGGGGCCCAAAGCCCAGCTATCTCTGGGCATGATCAGCCCCCAGGGGATCCTTGGGGAGGTTTTTCTCTCCTTCCCTCAGACATTTCCTGAAACAGAAGCTCAGCAATTATACATCTATTAGGCCCCCAGGCCCAGCACGTGAGTGGAGGCTTTCCCTGGGTTTCCAACTGTGCTTGCAACTAGCTGCCGCTTTGCTTCACTGACAGCCTGTGCTGCATCCGATCAAGCGCCGTGGGTCCTGGGCTGCCTTGCACTCGGTTTTGGAGGTGGTGGGCAGGCCTCTGGCCCTCCGCCTCCCTGCACCCCCACACCAGCTGGGCCTGGGCCTGCCCAGAAGGGAATGGACTCGGGACAGGGACCTTCCTGGGAATAGGCCCAGAGGCAGGCAGCAGTGCTGGGCAGCAGAGGGAGGGTACCTGGGCTCCGAGGGGCTGGTTTGGACCACTTTCCAGCTATCCGCCTGGGTCAATGAGGCTGGGCTCTGCCGGCCATGCAAGAGGTATTGATTGAGCTGGGCTGGTCCCTCCAGGGTCTGGCCCTCCCACCCCCCAATCTTAGATGGTTTAGGGCACCTCCCAACCTGGCCTGGATGGGGACTGCTAATGTAGTCTGAGAACGGGTTTGGTGCCTGCAGCCACGTTACTTCTCCCCGACCTGCTGTCCCTCTGAAAACTGCCTCCTCAGCCAGGTCCTTCCTTCAAACAGGCCTTCGAGGAATCGATACCCGCCAGAAAGGCATTGACTACCCTCCTGGTGCCAGGAAGAGCCTTTCTACTGTTCAAAGCCGTTCCCAGAAAGCATGGTGACTGCCGGGGCTAGACCTGGGCGGGGCCAGACACGGGCCCAGGGCTGCCTGCATCCCTGTGTGACCTTGAGCCCTCGGGCGGCCAGCACTGGTCCTTGGCTTCCCAGGGCTGTAAGAGGGAGTCGGAAGCCCTTGGAGAGGACAACAGCGGGATCTCCAAGTCGGCAAGGGACCTTCCCCAGGTCCACACGGACGCCATGCCACCAGAGCAGCTCTGTCCTCCTACTAGGTTATTACCCCTGGGGGGATTCGACTTTCCACTGCCTCCCTGCGAGACTTAATCAGGGAGAAGAAACTGATGAAGAGAGAGAAAGACGTCTAGCCTCAAAGCAGAAACATTCACTTCCCATAACAGGATGGCAAACACTATCTGATCCCTTTCACCTTTGACATTATGTGCATCTTCCATGGCTGGGCTCCAATCCCACCTCCTCCAGGCAGCCTCCCCAGGCTGCTTTGGGCCACACTAACCTCCCACCAGGAAGGCGGAGCTCTTGACTGCAGTCTTGCATTTTCTCTATCCTGGGCAGATCTCTCTGGGCCCAGGGGAGAACCTGAGAGGCCCCGAGGCCCCGTGGTATCCTGTTCTGCCTACCCAGAGTAGTAAACAGTGAGGAGAGGAAGGAACAATAGAGACTGATAAACTGTCCCACTGGACTCCGGCTTCAGCAATCACAACTAAAGATTTGGTTGCGCTTGGGGCACACTGGATACCCCTCCAGGAAATGAAGTTGGAGTTGGGGAGGCTGTGGGCACACCCAGCTCCCCAGCCATGGCTGTGACTCTGCAGGGATGGGGTGAGGGTGGCCCGGCAGGCAGGGGAGGTAACACAAGTTTCAAAAAGAGTCCATGAGTCCGATGGCTCCAGTGTTGTGCCAGCCTCAGTGTCTGCCACCTGCAAAGCCTGGTCCTGGACTCCCTCCCCCATCTGGGGGTCTCAGGCCCCATAAATTGACATGGGATCTCTATAAATAGCACCCATTCCATATTGATCATCTTAAAAAGACACGGTATGTTCTAGGCCCACAGAGAGGAGCGTTGTATCTAAATATAGTAGCATCCCCAGGAATCACTGCCAGCCTGAGTGGAGTGGTGTGCATAACCAAAGGGGCAGTCGGAAGGGGCAGATGACCAGGAGGTGGGGGTGGAAATGGAGGCAAGGAACCTCTCCATCCTTACCCCATTTCCTCTGCTCTAGCCACAGCAACCAACCTTGCCTTGGAAGCTTATTCCTGCCCCAGGGCCTTTGCACTTGCAGCTCTCTCTTTACAAGACATCCTGTCCTCAGACCTCTTCAGGATTGGTTTTCTTGTTACTTGGGTCTCAGCTCAGTCTCCTCCTCCGGCCAGCCTGTCTAGAGCAACGCTCATCTCTCCATCACATCATCCTGTTTTATTTCCTTCATCACACTGGTCACAATCTAAAATTATGTTCTGTATCTATCTGTTGAGTAGCACCCAGTCTGTCTTCCCCCAATAATATGGAGACTCCTTGAGAACAGTTATTATATCTGAATTGTAAACCTTCTAGAATCTTCCACGGCACAGAGGAGGTGCTGAATGTCCTGTCCAAGCTCTCCCCCACCATCCCTGGCTGAACGCTGCCTCAGGCCAGTCGGGGCTGGCAGGAGTGGCATCCAGGCCAGGCTCAGTCCCCAGCCCGGCCACCCTTGTGACTGCTCCCTGCAGTGGCCAGCCTCTGCCCACAGGCTGCCCCTGGCTTCGCCTGCTCGGCCTCTGAGGATTAGCCACGGCCTTTTACTCAGCCCTCCACTCCCGGATACCGACCTCATCTTGTCCCCAAACGCTGCTTTCTAGAACACTCTTCCCTCCTCAGAGCTAGCTCTCCTCCCCTTGCAGCCCCACCTCCAGCAGGAATCACAGTTCCCGCCACGAAAATCTCCCTCTCCGAGATTCGTGGGAAGAGTCATTTCACCCAGGCCTTCCTGACTGACCCACGGGACACACTAGAGCAACGGAGACCCTCCTGCATACCTTGAGCTCACAGGCCTCCAGCGCCTCCCAGTGAGGAAAAGGCGTTGTCCCCACACGCACCTGCCCGTGGGTGCCCTGCAGACACCCGGGGCCTCAGTGTCCACCCAGGCTCTCCCTGCAGCGCCCCCGACCCTACCCCTGCCAGCTCCCTTCTATCTCTCCTCCCTCTTAAACCATCGAACTCCTTGAAAGAGCTGTCTGCACATGCTGTCTCCACGTCCTCACCTCTCACTCCTCAGCCCTCTCTCCAAACCGACTTCCACTCTCACCAGTACATTCGTTCATTCAGTCGACCATCTGCCTGTGCCGGGCACACGCTCGGTGGGTGTTACGAGGAAAACTTCTGTTGTCTGAGACACCAGTACCCTCACCGATCATGCTCAATCTAAGGGGCATTCCTTTTTAAATTATGCATTCCTTTTTTTTCAATCTATCCATGAACTTCCTTAACTCTCTCAGCAGAAAGAGATGGGAGACTCCCTTCCTCTGGGACAGGCACCTGCCTTGCTTTCTGAGACACCTCCGCTGCGGCTCCCACCTCTCTGCTCCTGCCCAGCCCCAGGTGGACTACTCCTGCCTCAGTGGTTAGACCGCCTGAGCTCTGGACTCCGCCCTCTTCCCTCGCGTCCTCTTCACCACATTAGGATTCACCTGGGTGCTTTCAACACGGCTGATGCCCAAGCCTGACCTGAGTCACATGAATCGGAATCTCTGAGGTGGAGCCTAGGCACAGGTGTGTTTTGGTTCTTCAGAGCTTTCCAAGTGATGCTAACGTCATCAGGGTTGAGGACCACTGGTCAGCATTCTTGCTAAAGTAGCTCATTCACTGCCGTGGCTCCAATGACCAGCCTCTGAGGATGACTCCAAGTTTCCACGTCTCCTTCCTGAACGCTGGGCCCTTCCCTCCAACTGACACTGGATGTCGGCACCTCCGCCCCCCCACCCCCCGGAAATACTACAGATTCCAACCAGAACCCTGAAGCATCCAGCACTGGCCTGTGTCTTCATCAGGCTTGCCAACCCAAACCCCACCTGCCCATTCCCCCTTTCACAGTGTCGTCCGGCGCAGTGAGGTTCACTTAATGAGCAGTCTAAGGATGGAGAGTGGCATCTCCCTTAACAGAGAAGGCAGGTTCTATCACCTGTGTAACCTGCTGGTCCCTCTCCTTCAATTGTAAGGCTTTCGGTGGCACCCCTGGTCTGCACTGGAGAGGTAGGATAGCACAGGGCAGAGATGCTGACACCTGGGCTCGAGCTCAAGTCCTGCTACTTAGAGATGTGCGACAGTGCATACATTACTATGGCTTTCCGGGCCTTCAGTTTCATTACCTGCAAAATTGCCATTATGGTCCCTACCTCCAGGGTTGATGCAGAGATTCAGTGAGATGAGCCTTATAAAGTGCTAAGTGCTCAGTGCTCCGCCTGGACGGCAGACAGCACTCAGTGAATGTTAGCTATTCTTAGTACTATTACTGAGGATAAATTCCTAGTTCCTGAGCAGAGCTCACAAAGGCCCCTGGGATTGTGACGTTGGCTTTAGTTTCTGCTCTCCTCTCCCTCATAACATGGGACCTAATGAGTCACTGAACTAAGAATTGTGCTGTTTCACATCTCTGTGTACTGCACATGCTAGTCCTGATGGCTGGACTGTACCTTCTCCACCTGGAAAGCTCCTATGCATCCTTCAAAACCCAGGTGAAAGGTTATAATCTGTTAGATAGATACCCTTGACTCTCCTGGCCAAAGGTAATCACTCCTCTTTCGAATGGGCCATGGGGACACACTTCTATCATTGCACACCTTTTCAATAATCTTCCCAAGGGTCAGCAGGAATTAGCTCCTGTGAACAGAACAGAGAATGTCATGGACCACAGTCCCAGTCTTCCCCCAGGACTCCCTTCTTGGATTGCCTGAATACCAGTCTCCCCGACTCCCTTACTCCAGCTGTCTCTAGTGCCTCCTACCACTCCTCTGAGCTCGATCTGCATGCTGAGTGAGTCAATCCTGGAATTTTTTCAGAGGACCCCCAATCACCACGCAGAGACTGGGCTAAGCACCCCAGCTGCCCATGCCACAACTGGGCTGAAGGCTGGTTCTTGGCACCCAAGGGCCAGCTGCCCTTCTGCTCAGATCCTTCTTGGTCAGTCCCAGGTCAATTTGGTCCCCAGACGTTGATCTCAAGGAATCTTCACCGTGAGTGGTGCCCCAAATCCACTGACTCTCTAGGTGACCTTGTATAAGTCCTTGACCCACTCCCACTCTCGGTTTCCCCCTGTACAGTGCGGTGGTGAGAGAGTTGGGTTAAAAGCTCAGTGAAGCTCATTTCAGTACAGGGCTGGAAATTCTAGCATGCAATCTGCATTCTGCACTCTGACTGTCCCCTGACCCTCCACTCTTGTGATTACAGCTTGGCCTGAGCTGCTGGCCTGTGCCACCCTCATTCCACCTTCCAGTTCCATCCCCCCACTCATGTGCACCTGCCCAATTCTAACTGAGAGGAACTGAGGGCAAGGAGATAGTTGGAGGCAGCAGCAAGGGCCTGGGCCATGGTGGCCCGAGCCTCTGTCGCTCAAGGTCCCTCTGGATGGTGAGAATTCCGGAGAGGGCTGAGGTACTTTGGCATGGTAGGATCATATGATGTGCCTGTCTTCATGGTGCCGTCTAGGCTCATGGAGGCTTGGGGGCCTCAGGAGGTGAGGAGACAGCTGGGGGAAGGGAATGCTGGCCCAGGACCCCGAGAGGAGAAGACCGATTCCACCATCCCGGCTTGGTCTCAAGGCACTAAGAAGAGAAGACAGACTTCTGCCACACCTCGGCCATGGCTTCCTGATGGGGCTCTGCGCTGTCCTCCAACAGGTGTTTCAACGCAGGCGGGCCTTGGGCCAGGACCCTGTCCCCAGCACTCCCCCCCTCCCCCACGACTACTCTCCATACCTCCAGCCCCCCACAGGGCAAGGCACCTCCACTGCCTCCCAAGGCGCCACCCAAGACACTCAAATAACAAGATGTTCAAAGGACAAGAGCCGCCTCCGTCAGGGCACGTGGGTCTGCCCGGGTCAGAGCCAGGAGGGCAGAGAACGCGCCCAGTCCCAGCGCACAGAGATCTCCCCGGTGAGAGCGCACGCACACCTCTCCGCCTCCAGGGCGCAGGGACCAGATGCCGCCCCACTAGGGCGTCAGAGGGCACAGAGACCTCGTCGTGGTCGAGCACTCAGAGACAGAACGCATATATTGACATCTCTCCCCGCTCAAGGCGCACAGATATCGGTCCTGGGCAGGACCGGCAGAGATCTCGTCTCAGAGAGGACTCCCCGAGCGGACGGCTCCGCGCGGCCCAGAGAAAGGGGTGCCTGGCCCCCTCCCCCATCCCCAGCCCTGCTTGGTCAGCTCCCCGCTCGCCAGAACCACACTCATTGCGCGCCTAGTCGCCGCTCTGACCTTGGGGTCTCCGGCCTCGGGAATCCGGGTTCCAATTCCCTGCCTTCCCCAGCCTGCGCCGGGTCGGGGGGCCGCCGGGGCCGCAGCGCCCCCTCCCCCGGCCCTCGACAGCGCTCTGGGAAACCCGGAAGGAAAGGGAAGGGGAGGGGGCGCGCGGCGATTAGAGACGCCCTCCCCCCGGGGATCCCCTCCAGCCAGGCTGATCCGCACCCCTTCTTCTCCTCTCCCCACCTTTAGGGGCAGTGATGGGGGAGGGAGCTGCCGGCGGACCCGGGGCAGGGAAGGGAGCGCGCAGGGGCTGGAGGCTCCGACCCTCGGGGAGGAAAGTTGGGCGGCGGCAGGCGAAGGGTGCTCGGGCCGGGCCGGGACTGCCGGGCGCGGGGACGCTCGTTCACCTGCTGGCCCCGGGCTGGGGCCCCCGGCTGGGTGGCTGCTCCTCGGCGCGGACTCGGTTCGGCGCGGGGCGCGAGGCACTGGGCGCAGGCTCAGCGGCCCCGGGGTCGCGATCCCTGCATCCCACGGGCGCCGCCGCCGTCTCGGCTCCGCCGCTAGTCTCGGGCTCCGGGACTCCGCGGGCGGCGCGGGATCGGGCTGGGGGCGGGGTCGGGGGCGGGCCCCGCCTGGGCTCGGCCTGGGGCTTGGGGCCCCGGGCTGGCTCCGCCCCAGAGCGACGCGCCCCGGGCTCCGCACGTGGCGCTCCGCCCGCTCAGAGGGAGAACACCTCGGCTCTCGCCCGGGCACGCACCCCCACACTGACCCGGGGGCGCCCTGCCACAGCCAGGCGCCCACGCGGACACGGACAGACGCAGGCGGACACTGGCACACAGTGGGGTACATCCACACCGACCTGGGGACGCTTTGCCACAGACAGCCACCCACGCGGACACCAACAAACATTGGCCGGAGTACAGACACACATCCTCACTGACTTGGGGACCCTCCACCAGACACCCTCCACCGCGGACACGGACACTGAAACTCACCCCGTGACACACAGACAACGGTGCTGAGACAAACATACCCGACATAGGCACACCTGCGCACTGACACAGACACACAGTGACACACAGACACCCACAGGGACACACAGGCAGACACATCATCAACACACACTGTCACGGAGGCAGACACTCTGACAAAATCAGTGACACCCACGTGACCCAGACATACATCCACTGACACACTGACAGACATACACACTCACATAGTATGAACCACATTCTCCTAGACACACACACAGAGTGCATACAAGTCTGCATAATGGTAGACACCTCTCTTGACACACACCGACACACACGTGCTGATGAAAACACACACCCTGACCAGAAAGGACACAATCAACACACACAGACAACTGCCCTGAAAAAACACATACATTCACCCTGTTGAGCTACATACAACCCACACCTTGACCCATGGAGACTCACATGCTGACACTGAGGTGTACAGACACCATCTCTCACAGGGACACAGGGATCCGAACACTGACGGTGATTGCTCACACACCCAAGCTTACCGTCAGGGAATCATATCCAGGAACACAACTGCTTGTTTAAACAACACAGGCCACCACCAGCTTTTGCCCACAGATCAGTAACATCATTGGAAGGGATGGCATACATTACCCTGCATCGAGGCCCAGGAGTGCAGGCGTGCACACACACACACCTGCGCACGCACCCGCGCACACACGTGTTTCTTTCCCAGCAGTATTTTACTCTCTCCTGACACGTCTTCAAGACTCCTGAAAATAAGAATTGTTCTTGTTGGGTAAAAGAGTATTGAGGTCTCAAAGGGCACAGAGGTGCTGTGTTTGAGAGGTCAGAGGCTGTGACCTGCCTTCCGTTATTGGGATCTTGGAGGGGTTACCAGGGTACCATATTCCCTTTGGGACCTTGTGTAGGGCTCCGGGGGTCACTGGGTGCCTTACATATACATTAAGGAGCTATCTATGCTTGCAGGAGGGGCCTGAATCAGGAAGAAAATCAGTCTACAGGAGAGTCCAGGACACAGGACCCTCTCTGGCCCTGAATCTGATTGGGTGGCTGAGGATAGATGAACCGCCTGCTGGCCGCCGGCTTCTAGCACCCTGACGGGCCTCAGGTTGGCCAGCATCTCCCACTAGCGGCCAAAGCAGGTAGTGCAGACAATGTCCAATTTTCACCCTGGGGTGTGGGTCGGCCTTCCCTGGCTCACACCTCCTGGGTGGGAGGAGAGTAAAGTACAATTGGGGTCCTCCCTGAGGCCTTCCACCACTGGCGTCTGGGTCCCAGAATGAAGATTGAAACTTGCAGACGGACACTGGGCCCAGAGGGAGACTGAGCTAGACGGAGTCATTGGGGGTGGGCGGTAGAGATCCCCCTACTGCATCTGCAGCTAGCAGAGGTGGGCTTCACATTCGTATTGAGTGCAGAGCACTGGGACGGTGCCAGTAGGAGAGGTGGGCTAAGCCTTGTGAATCGACACACACCCCAGATTTAGATGAGAAGCCCCTGAAAAGTAAGAACCAGAGCTCTGACCCCGGGATATTCCGCCAACATATCTGGAGGTCTGAGAAGGTCCAGGGAGGCAGGAAAGGGCAATGGGCCTGAGATGGGGCACTTTGTACAAGGAGCCTTGGCAAGACCTGGGCCACTCCCTTCTCCTCGCCAGACCCCATTTAATTAGGGCAGGAACATGCATTCAGCAGTCAGAGGACAATGAAAGGTTCCTCAAACCAGTGTTTCCTTTATCCCACCCTTCCCCTACCTCAGGGTCAAAGCTGGACTAAACACAGTGTCCTTGTGCATCCACGCGGGACTCCTCTCAGGGATTCCTTTCATTTCTTCCTCTGCGACCATGACCTCACTGCCCCGTCCCTCCCAACACTAGCCTCTGCTCCAATAGGTAAAGCAGGTCTTTGCATATATACACATCTTAGTACAGTGCTTACTATTGTTGTTCGTGCCTATGTGTTTTCTGTTTTTACTGCCCCGGGCTTTCCTATTTGTTTTACTTCTATTGCACTGTAACTTACATATGGAAAAGTGCATAGACCGTAAGTGTTCAGCTCAAGGGTTGTCACTAGTGGAACACTTCCAATAATCAGCACACAGGTCAAGAAGCCAAACATCACCAGCACCCCAGAAATCCCCTTTATGCCCTCTTCCTGTCACCACCACTTCCCCCGAAAGTTAACTACGGGACTCACATAGAATTCCCCGTGGTAGTTTTGATAGTCACTCAAAGGCAATCATATAGTATGAACTCTTGCATCTGGCTTCTTCTGATGAGCTTTAGGTTCATGAGATGCATCCATATTGCTTGTAGTTTTAATTCTTTTGTGTTCACTGCTGTGGAGAATTCTGCTGGGTGACTATACCATACTTTATGCATCCATTCTACTGCTGATGTGTTTTTGGTAGTTTTCAGTTTGGGGTTACTGTGACCAGCACCACCATGAACATTCTACTATGGGAATTTTGGTGAATGTATGTATGCGGTTCTGCCAGGCACACACCTGGGCATAGAATGGGTCACGGGAGAGAGTGTTTGCTCTAGTAGACACTGCCTAGCAGTTTTCCAGAGTGGTTCTACCAACACATAGTCCATCAGCAGCAACCGTATGACAATTCTTGTTCATCTGCATCCTCCAGCTCTTGGTATTTTTATCTTGTTCATTTTAGCCACTTCAGCAGGTGTGCAGAGGTTTCACATTGTGGCTTTAATTAGCATTTCCCTGATGACTAATGAAACTGAGCACTCTGTCATGGTTTATTGGCCTTTTGTGTGTATGTGCTTTTCATTTATGCAAATGGGTATTGTTGCAATTTTCATTCTTGTTCTTATCTTTCTCCCTCAACGCTCTGCCTTTAAGCTCTGTCCCTGTGGTGTGGAGGCAGCTAGCTCTTTGCTTCTGACAGCTGCAGGGTGATCTGTGTATGTGCCCACCGAAACTCTGTGTCCCTTCCCCTGGATGGGTGGTAGGGAGGCCTGAAGATGGCGAGGGGATGGAACAGTCATAACTGGCTTGTGTTTCTGTTTTCTTCACTCTGTTAATGATGGAGGTGGGGGCAGGTGAAGAAGCAAGCCGATTCGGGGTTCAGAACCCATAAACACTCGGGACTAGGAATATTAGAAGGCAGTGGTGCAGGTTGGGGTTGAAAATAGAGGGATGGTGGAAAGCTCCACAAAGGCCTGTAGACACGGAGACCCCCCCCCCCACTGGGTTCTGGGAGGGGGGGACTGGCAAGAGTGAGGAACCTTACAGAGAGTGAGGGGATCTAGTGGGACCCCTGGCTTCCTACTTCTGCTAGGTGCCAGAACTCTGGCAAAGCATTGGGGAACTCCACATTGAGAAAATGACCAGCCCAAGAGAATAGCCCTGGGATTCTGGGTACCCACCCAACCACCCCCACTGTAAAGCTCACTTGTCAAGGAGCTCGACTCGCCCCACATTCATTCCCACCCTCCTGCTCCTGGACTTTCTCTCCTACGGAGGCTCTGCCTGCTAAGTAGTTGCCTCTGCAGTTTGCCCTGTGCTCAGCGCTGGCCACATGACCCAGTAATGGCCGAGAGGCAGAAGCAAAGCTTCGCTGGGGAGCACCACTTTCCTGGTTTCGGGACAGGAGCAGCTGGCTTAACTCTCTTCCCTCTTCTTCCTGCTGTGAACGAGGGCACGACGCTTGGAGCTGAGAAGCAGGCACATCCATGAGGGTAAGGCCAGTAGGCTTGCCGATGTTGGCCCCATGGCAGTGACCGCAGAGCCCACACCTTCACGCTTCTCTTCCATTCTCCTGTGAGCCAATGAGCCGGATGCTCTGCAGTTGCCGCCAGGTCGTGTTGGGTAGGGAGGCATCTGGAAGCCCAGGTGCTCTCAGGGCAAACTGTTCACCAGCCCTTCTGTTTTCAGCCACACCCGCCTCCCTTTTTTCACGGGGACCTGGTGCCTGAGCCCCGGACACTTTCCAGGGGTTTGGCACCTCTGTGGGCACTTGGAATGCAGCCTTCCCTGCTCTGCTCAGCAGTTACTGCCCAAACTTTCAAAAAGTTCTCATCCCATCTGTTGTTGCCTCCTCTTCTAGATGTTTCTGTCCTTGCAGGGTTTATGCTTTCAAAATTATTTCACTATCGCCCTGGCTGGTTTTCTCAGCGGTTAGAGCATCGGCACACGAACCAATGAGTCACGGGTTCAATTCCGGCCAAGGGCACATACCTTGGCTGCAGTTCGTTCCTGGCTCTGGTTGGGGTTGTTTAGGAGGCAACCAGTCGATGTGTCCCTCTCACATCGATGTTTCTGCCCCCGGCCCCGCCCCTCTCTATCTGAAGATAAGTAGAAAAATATCCTTGGGTGAGGATTAAAAAAATATATATATATATAAAGTTATTTCACTGTTATTGGGTGAAATTTCAAGAGATGTCTTCAAATTCATTATATTTGTAAGAAAGTCCGTGTTTCAGATTCTACCTCAGATAGATTTTGTTGTTGTTATTAATCCTTATCCAAGGATATTTTTCCATTGACTTTTAGGGAGAAGGAGGGAGGGAGAGAGAAAAAAACCTTGA